CGCCCGCCATGCCGAAAATGGCGGACGGCGCCACAAAACGCCATTTTGCAGATGGCGAATGGCGGCGAGGCCCAAAACCGCCCCGCCATACCGTTATAGCGGCGTTATAACGGTTTTTTGATAACCTTGCTCTGAACTACTTTTTGCAGTAAACTCCACAATCTGAAACAGACCTTTCAAGTTCATCTTTCTGTTGTGTTCCCTTCAATGACTTTTGACCATTAAAATATATTAATGAATATCTTTAATTTTGAGCATTTATATTGGTCTAATATGAATTATTTAATGTCTATGACAAGACCTTAGAATAGTCAAAATCCCATTACCCATAATCATGGTTGTCAAACTCGCGAGTCAATTCGTAAACTCGTACGAGTCTACGAGTCTAGGGTAGCAAAACGAGTTAACTCACTCATAGACTCGTTTTTTGGTAGACTCGGGTAGACTCGGTCTGACTCGTGTAGACTCGGTCAGAATCGCGAGTTTGAGATCGAGTCCACGAGTCTGGTTAGTTTTTTTTTTTCACCCCTAAATGGCCCAAAACGACGTCGTTTTGCCTAGGGTTAGTAAGTGAGAAAGCATTTTTCCCTTCGCGCGACATGCCTCCACCATTCTCACGTTTCTGATCTGGTTTTTCTCCCTCCGCAACGTTCGAACACTGATCTCCGCCGCTACGAACCCGCATCTCTGCCGCTACGAACGCCGCCGCAATCAAACGCCCCTGCATACGAACGCCGCCGCAATCAAACGCCCCCTGCATACGAACGCCGCCGCTATCAAACGCCCCTGCATACGAACGCGCGTCCTCTTGCTGGGAAGGACGCGGGTCTATTTTCTCTCCCTCCGCCGCATCTCTGCCGCATACGACCGCGTCTGTCTTCGTGAGTCACTCTAACATTTTTTGATTTTTTGGTCTGTTAGTGTTATTCACAATTCACATACCATTTTCAGAGCAAGATGTCTGAAACCGGTGGTGGCTCAAAGTCTTCACATACCATTGATTTTTTGGTTGTTTATGTATGGTTAAGATTTGTATTATGACATTTTATTGTTGTTATTTGACTTATTTCAGACAGGAGAACAATTTGCACATCGCATGATTCACTCAGCAAGTAGAAAATTTTGAAACAAACTTGCAACAAGCAAATCCTGTCTGAACAGTCTCTGAAAAAGATCTGCAGGACAAAATAAATTATCAATATAAGATAAAATGATATCAACTAAAAATGCTTGCTATATAACTGGAGTTAAGGAAAAACACCATGGTAATTTAGCAAGTCAGCAGAAGGATGGGGGTTGAGACCTACCATAAGGAAGAACATTCCAGGCAATTGTATTAGTTACTGCTGTAAAGATCCAATTCAACTCACCCAGAAGTGTCTTTCGGTCATTTGGGCGGCCAGGGATCTTGTCTACAAGTGAATAATCAAGTGACTCGCAAAATAAGGAACGAGTACAAAACCTAGAGACAAATTACATCACCAAAAAAGTATTAATAGCCATTTAACTGATATAACTTATCACCACTTAAAAGTTTAGGAATTAGATAAAATGAAAAGAGTTAAGTTAGTAACGAAAATGTAGGTGTAAAGCATAAAATCAACTAAATATTAAAAACCATCTTTATCACAGGAGAAAATGAATATTAGATAAAAGTAGTTAACTAAGGGTTCAATATGGAAAACATACTGCGAGGCAAAAGATTGGGTAGGTAAATTACAACTCACGTTACAAAAGTGTGCATGGCTATGCGAAATGCTTTAAAAATCCATGCATACTGGTATTATGTTTAAAATAATCAGTATAACAAGGTACATTAAACCTTTGAGTGTTTAATATATAAAACCTTCTGAACAGCATAAACTAAGCAGGTATTAATGAGAGAAGCTTCACCATCGCAATGCCATCTTTATAGGTGTTGTAAGGCAAGATGTAAACACATCAGCCAGGAATTCTGCACTCTGAGGCAAAGTCTCGTGTGCTTCACATGCTGCAAGCAGAATGCAATCCCTTTGGGACACAGAGGAGTTGGAAGCACTCCATTTATGAAGCTTATCAATAACAAGTCCAGCAACAAATTTGGCAGTCAAAATTACATACAAGACAAAATCAGTACCAATATATTTTCAGTTTTCTTTATACAGTATATAATAACACACTAACACAGTTTTGAGCAGATACCTCAATGAAGGAATTTACAATCAACCCAGCCGCAGAGCAATCAAAAACATAAATTGATGGGGTCTTCAGCCACGAATCGAGTTCATTGATAGCTAAGGGGATATACTGCGTGTAACTCTGAACAAGATATGACGAAGAATGAGAATAAGAATGTCATGAAGCTCTTTTCATCATGATATTGTAACTGAGGTCATTTTACTCAATAGGAATCCATGGTATCTAGTAGCCAGAATTAAACTAATCAGGAGCATTAAAATTTTCCCTTTTCCAGTATAATAATATAATCAACTCTAGCTCTCATCCACAGAACAATCTGCCCCTATTTTTTATTGTTATTTCATGCCTTTCATTTTATGATTATTTAATATATCCCTCCCCATCTATATTGTGCTTGTTGAAGAAAACAAGAGCAAAATAAGCAGTATAACAAGTAAAATGGTTAAAATACATTGTACTCATCATGCTTGGGCTAAAATATCTCTCTTAGAATTTGGCCTTAGGGCCTAACTAAACCTTCAAATTCGGATGATACTGTGAGGACAGCCCAAGCTTTATAAATTCTAATTAAGCCATATCTTTAGTTGATGTAGAGGACTAAACCACCACCCTTTGAAGTTGCAATTAAGGCATCTCTCAAAGCGGCCACAACTAAGGCACGTAAGGAATGACTGCAGCTACAGTGGCTTTCCAACATATTCATTACCATTTCCATCCCATACATCAGCGATCCAATTTTCCTTCTATTCTTGGATTTTACACATTTTAATAATCACTAATTTTCTATTCACCCATTTTCATATTTTACATATTTTTCAACACAGCATATTTGTAAGAGGTGGCAATCTATCTATACACACACACTTCCTAGTCAACTTGTCCTACATTGTCAGTATGAAGAAAACAACATTTGATTTATCAAATAACTCTCTTTAAGAACAAAAAAGAAAGAACATTGACCTTATTGAAGACCCAAATTTCACCATTGGGAGTTGACTTCGGCACAACATGCCCATTGTAATGAAATAAAACTCTTTCTGACTTTGCATATCTACGACTCGTGGTGCAAAGCTTCTTCACCTCATCCACTGTCAGATCAAGTTGACATTTATAGCAGGCCTGAAAACATGTCAACAAGGTTAACTGAAAATCAATTTCAAAGGTAACATGAAAATGAGGTTAGCTTGCTAAACATTGCCACCTTTGGTTGCCAACTGTCATACTGACTGCTCAAAGTTTTTCCAATTGATTCCAATGCCTTTTGTGGTGCCATAGAAAAAGGATCTGCAGCATTGAAACAGGTAAGATCAAAAGCTGTTCGCACCATAACCATTGTTGCAAGCATACTTCACAAGGACTCTACATAATCAATTCATCTCATTTTTGGTTCACCAAGCCACAATTAACTCTAAATAATTTGGCTGGGGATCTAAAAGTTAATGGTGTCGAAAAAGTTGAACAAAACAAGAATGAATCAAAGAGTCCAACCATAAGAAATAAATGCAGAACAGCACACTACATGTTTTACTGCAAAAAAAATAAAAATAAAAAATAAAAACACACACACATTTTACAATTGCTTTGGATTGATAGCAATACGAACATGTAAAAACAAACAGTTAATAACCAAAATACGTATATAATATTATTAAGAAACGCAAGGTTATTTCCAAACATTTAGAGAACAAAAAGGTGCAAAAAACACTCAAATCCATCAAGTAACTAAAGAGTACAGACCACATAAAACAAAAAATTAAAATACACGAGATTAGAAAGGTAACAAGAGACCTATCCAGCACTCCATTCTGGCACAAGGGGATATCTTTAGGACATCTGGTGGATCAACACTAATGTTTAAACATAATACTAGAGCTACACATCCTGTCTTCATCTCCTCCACAAAATTAGGAGTCAAAACAGAGCATTCTTCTTGCCAAAGATACAATATATAAACATCTTTAAGAAACAGTCATTAGAACATGTTAGAGGGAAAAAAACAGATACTTTGAATGAAAATTATTCTGATTAGGAAAAAAAAATGTGAAAAGTCAGTATAACTAACAAAATCCTTTGTAAAGGTAGATTACTAATAAAGAAATCCTTAATCAATGGGGAGAAAAATTATCTTTTAGATGATATGAGCCCACCCCAAGACCCCTCAACCCAAAAAAAGAACCAATGGTGAAAAAAATAAAAGAAAAATAAACCATAGCACTTAAAACAGTCATTCTAGCCAATCAATGTCACCATAAAGCCATTGTGATTCACAACATTTCTCACTTCGTCATGTTAAGTTATTCAAATGCAGAAAGAAATATGATGTTTTACTGAGGTGAAATGGAGAACAATCTCATTCTTCCTATTTCAATCTCAAGTTAAATTCAGTATGGTACTAAGACATTTCAAAAAAATTAAATGTCAGTCAGCCAGAGTATATGGAACTTCCATGCAACCAACAATTGCAGAACATTAACTGTGAGAAACATAGAGAGGAAGATGACAACTCTAACATTACATTTTCTTCTTTTGATGTGTCAAATTTTGATGTGAATCCAACTGGGAAAAAAAAAATTGATTCCAGCCTAGATAGATCCGTAAAATGAATCCATCCCTCTAGGTTCATATCAAAAGAATCCTCAATTTTTTTGCAAAAAAACAATCGCACTATTTGTAAAAAGGAAGAGCACCGAAGAGAATAATTAAAGATCATTGGCAATAGAAAACTACTAAAACAAAATTTCTAGTGGATACAATCAGACTAGGCGGAAGTGAGATTTGCTTATTTCACGTTTTTAATGAGAGTTGGAATTTAAATAACCAGTTTTCACAAAAAGAAAAAACATATATAGTTAAGTTTACATGCTTATATTTCTAATCTACCTCCGTCAAGGGTCAACCAACTTCCAACCCATTGCAAATGGAAGAAGCTAGCAACCTCCAATTCATCTAAACAACCTACTTCCTAATGCGAACTACCAGGGTTTACACAAGACCTATTACCCTAAAGACGCAAATGAAAACAATATTTCCCCCACCTCCGTTCAGAAATCACTAATTCAGTCTAGCAAAGTCAAGGATAATTTATCCATTTCATGGTTGGCTCTTTCGCCTAACAAGAACTCCACAAACACCAAGTTCAGAATTAATAGAAGAAAACTCCCGCATTGCAAGTATCATGCTTATTGAGATCAGAGATCTGCTAAAGTATAAAGTGCATTCCAGAGGGTAAAGTAAAAAGCTGTGTTAAAACCCACGGATATCACAAAACTTTACTCTTTGCACTAACTCACTGAATTACGCCTCAGCATTTTACTTTTTGCACTTGAGAGGATTCAAGCCCATCTTGGAAAAATGTTCATGTTCAACAGGTCAAAGGTTTTACATCCTCAAAATGTCGTTAATAAGTAATAACATTACAAAAGCATTCACCACTGGCACCACTGCATTGACCTAAACGCCCTTTCCAAACCCCTTTTACGCAGAACACGTGGCACAGGATTCACACTACTTTCCACTGGCACAGTAAATCAAATCGCAAAGCATCGATTGAACACAGCGAAATTCAGATAACAAGGTTAACATTTAACAACCGAATCAAACTCTCCAGTGACTGAAATTGAAACTCACCCTGTCCTTAGGTCGCCACTTGGAGACTAGGCCGCTGCCGGAGGAGCCAGCGGGGACGGCGGGCTCGAAGGCGTCATGGCGGAGCTCGCAGATGAAATTGAAACTCACCCTGTCCTTAGGTCGCCACTTGGAGACTAGGCCGCTGCCGGAGGAGCCAGCGGGGACGGCGGGCTCGAAGGCGTCATGGCGGAGCTCGCAGAGGACGACGGTCTGCGGCAGATACGCCATGCTGGTGGCGGCATTACCGGTGTAGTTGCCGCAGCTACTGGCGATGGCGGCTTCGGAGTCGCGGCGGTTGGCGAAGTCGGCGTCGTCATTGGTGGTGGCGGCGGCGGCGGAGGAGGAGGAGGAGGAGGAGGTAGAATCGTCGTGGTGGCTCTGGCTGGGAACGCCGGGAACGGTGGATTGGGAAAAGCGAGAGGCCATGAAATCTCCCAATGCCATCCAAATCGGAAACCCTCCTCGGTGATCGTCCATGGAATAGCAGAGGGTTTTGACGTGGCGAGAACCCTACGTTTTCGCAGAGCCAGGAATGTGAAGATGGTGATTGTCACAGCATATTTGTGACACTTAGTAATACATGATATATACATTTTATTTCTTCCCAGTTTTATGTGATAGATGATAAGTTGTAATTTGTGAACCCATGTTTCAGGGGTGATTGATCATTGGGGCAGTTGCCCAACTTAATTACGTAAATGGGGTTACTTTTAAACAATATATACTTTTGGAACACTTTTTAACAGTAGCAATGGACCTTAACGATATCAGTGACACGTGGCATTTTTATAATTTATAGCGACACAAAACAGCTCTATTGAAGTCATTATAGCTTACAGTGTCAAATATTTAATATAAAAAAAATAATTTTACTATAAGTAAATAATTTTAAAAAAAATAATTTGTGAAAGTGGCATTATAGCCTATAGCGACACTGTGTCGCTATAGCCCATAGCGCCACCCAATTAAAAATTAAAAATGATAAAAAAAGAAAAATATATATATAACATAAAGAGAAAAAAATAGAAAAGATAATTATATAAATATAAATTTATATGAAAATCATAAAATAAATTAAAATCTGGAAAAAAATTAATTAAGTTAATAATTTAAAAAAAAAAAAGTGTCAGCGTCCATAGCAATACTACTTTTTTTTTCATTTTTTTTAATTACGTATTTTGGTTTAGTATTTTTTAATTAACATATAAAAAAATTATTAATACACTTAAACAATAAAAAGAAATAAAATTACTTGAACTATAAATATATAAAATAAAATTTATATTAAACAAATATATAAAAATAAAAATAAAAACATCAAAAAGAGTGGCGTTATGATCTATAGTGACACCGTGTCGCTATAGGCTATAGCGACACCGTGTCGCTATAGGCTATAGCGCCACTTTTATAAATATTTAAATAGATAAAAAGAAAAAAAAAACATGTATAAAATAAATAAATTACAGAAATAATAAATTTATAAATATAAATTTATATGAAATTGATAATATAAATTAAAATTTGAAAAAAAGAAACTAAGTTAATAATTTTAAAAAAATAATTTATTGGAATTAAATAAATTTTTGTAAAATAATTTACTGGAATGTTGAGTATATAATAATTTTTAACAGATATATTTTATTTAAAAATTTTGTATAGTGTATAATAAAAAATGAAAAAAATAAATTTTTTCTAGGGACAGAATTTATTTATATAAATGGAAATAATAAAAAACACAAAAAAAATGAATTACAAAATAATTTTTAGAAAAAAAAATTAGTACAGTAAATCTGGAGAGAAAAAAACCCAATATCCCAAAAAAATGAAAATTTTGAATAAAAAAAAAAAAATCGGTGTCCCTATGGGCTATAGCGACACAATGTCGCTATGGCCCATAGCGACACTAGCTTTTTTTTTCAAAATTCTCGTTTTTTTTTACCTAGAGTGGCTATGGCCCATAGCGACATCAGCCTTTTTTTTTGTTTTTAGTTTTTCATTTTTTTCTAGTTCAGTTTTTTTTTTTTCAAAATTTTTGTTTCTTTTGTTTATTGGGTCATTTTTTTCTCCATATTTATTTTACCAAAAAAAATTTTAAATTTATTTTGTAATTCATTTTTTTGTGTTTTTTTACATTTTTTCCCTTCACTTATTTTTTGCCCAATTTTTTTAAATTTACATATAAAAAAATTATTAATACACTTAAACAATAAATTTTCTTTAAACTACACAATTAATTATTTTTAACTAAATTTATTAACAAATTACTGAAAATATATTTTTAATTATATTAAATAAAATACTGAAAATATAAATTTAATTAAATTTGTTTATTTATGTACTTATTTAATTAAAAATATAAAAATTAAGTTTTTAAAATGAAATGTTAATATTTAAAAAATAAATAATATACAAAAATGGTGTCGATTCGCACCCCTTCAAGCGAAAGAGATAGAGAGAAAAAATATAAAAAGGAAAATTACGCACTTTACGTTGCGAGAAAATAATGGAAAAGAGAAAATTCTCCGATTCCCCTTTTTAGTTTATAGCTGAGAGAGAGAAATTAAAAATCACGCGACGACTTTTGATTCTTCCATTCACGAATTGCGTTAGGGTTTCGTAATTTTGCGTTGCGGTGCTTTTTCGATCAATTTTCCTCGAAAGTTTTATTCTTTTTCGGTTTCTGAGTTTTGGGTTGTTAAATTGAGAATTGAGAATTGGTTTTGAAGGTTCAGAAAGAGAAAGAGAGAGAGAGAGAGAGAGAGAAGGGGAAAATATGATGGCTTCTTCTTCTTCTTCAGCTACTGTCGCAGTAGAGAAGGCGACCAGCGATCTTCTTATGGGCCCTGATTGGACCATGAACATCGAAATATGTGATTCCATCAATTCTAATCATTGGTAATCTTCAACTGCAAGAAAAGATAGCATATCAATTTCGGTGCTATGTTTTCTTTTATTTTATTTTGAGGGGTTGACTTTGATCAACTGCCACATGCTTATCATGTTTATGCTTTTCAATATCATGTTTGTTGCTCTTGTTATCGGATAAAATTTGGGGGCTCAGGTCGTTGTTTTCTGTTAATATTATTTTGAAGTTTTTTTTTTTTTTTTTGTGATGAAATGGATGGGGAGATTGTATTATTTGGAAACTGCTTATTCTCTTTCGCTGATTGAATTAATTTCTTTCCATTTTTTTAATAAATTTTTTCATGCATGATTGTTGGCCTCAAAATTGAACAATAATTTCTGCTCAATTTCCTGTTAGAAAACCAGGGTTCATTGTTAGCAGTACAACCTTGTTTGTGAACTTTCTCTTGTACACCTTCAATAGAGTCTCTGGGAAATTTAGACTGTTCTTTTGACCGAATATTTGATGAATACCGCATGTTGAATTTTTCAGGCAGCCAAAAGATGTGGTAAAAGCTGTGAAGAAGAGATTACAACATAGGAGCTCTAGAGTTCAATTACTTGCTCTCACGGTACTTTGTTGGCACTGGTCTTTGGTCTAACCTTTTAATATTCGCCTCAAGTACTTTGTACTTTGTGGTTGTGTCCTCCTTCTTGGATTGCTTAATTTTCCTATTCATTTGTTTGGAACTTGATTTATGGTTTCTTGTTGTCTACTCCCCAGCTTCTGGAGACAATGGTGAAGAACTGTGGTGATTATGTGCACTTTCAGATTGCTGAGCGGAACTTATTAGAGGAGATGATCAAAATCGTAAGGAAGAAGGTAAATTGGTGTTAGTTGGAAGCGTAAGATGTGTTTCTGATTTAATTTGTGTATTTGGTGCTTGAAAGAAGTTGTTATTGCATTCTTTGTGGATATTTGTTGTCATAAACAAGCTCAGATCATTATGAATATACGTCCGTCGTATTGTTTAGAGGGAGAATTCCCGTAGAATCTAAACAAATTTTATATCTGTTGCAGTTTTACTGTTAGAAAAAATGATTAGTTATTGCATCTTCTTAAATAAGTAATCCATTCAGCCATTTGATTCAGCTGTCAAATCTGTTCGTTCATTGTTCTACCTTTTTGGTGCACAAACTCAACCAAAATGTTTAGTTGTTGGCTCCCTTTCAGTCGTTGCTAATGTCTTTTATATTAATAAAATTATAAGTTCAAGCCTCAAAAGAAAGAAAATATTTAGTAGATAATGTTGTTTATCAAGTTATTGACTCTGTCATATGCACTTGCAATCCTTTTTGTAGTGTTGAAATCATTGTTGTTTCTCTCTGCTGAACTGGCATGCTAGGGACTATTATGGAAAGTGGTTGGTATCAAAGTTCATTGCTAACATGAAGATTTAATGTACTATAATATTATTGATTCTGATGGTGTAATTGTTTTAACTGCACTTTGCCTGATTAAATTTATATTCAAACCAAGTCCAGTGGCTACTGCTGTACATCATTAATGACCAGTATGTTCTAGTGACCACCGGAGAGTTCACTTAGGCTATGATCCTAGATTAGATTGGTTACAAGATCATGGGGACAAAACTATCTGTATGTTGAATGTCTCTTGGTTGTATTTCTCTCTTGATAAAATGTTATAATGTTGAGTTGATGATGCCCTTAGGATTTGTTAGTTAACCCTAAATGTTATTAATGTTAAGTTGAACAAATGGACCCATCCATATTTTGATAGGCAAATATTAAGATTGTTATGATAGTGAAACAATGGAAGAAGGAAACCCATGTAAAGCACTACCTCCTTAAAAAAAAATGGGTCTCTGGAGTACTTGAGATTATTTTCTTGTTCCAGTTATGTTTTCCCAATTCAATGAAGAATTCATATTTTGTCTTCAACAATTTTGTTGGGTTCTATCTGTCCCATCTAACGTGAAATACATGTGATGATGATTTAGGCAGATATGCAAGTGAGGGATAAAATTTTAGTGTTGCTGGACTCATGGCAAGAGGCATTCGGGGGACCAGGTGGTAAATATCCTCAGTACTTTTGGGCATATGAGGAATTAAGGGTAAGTATGCTGTTGTCTACTCAATAATAAGATTTCTTGAATGGTTTTTATCCATCTCTATATTGATGGTTGCACGTGCAAACTGGGATGCTTGATTTTCAAAATCATATTCACTTGACATTTGTGGATATTATGTAATTGATAGTCCATTCTGTCCATTTTATTTTTAAGGACGAGATTTGACTTTTACAAATTTTAAGAAGACACTTTTTACTTTTTTTTTCTGTAACATGTATACAAATTTGTATTTTGCTACTAAATTTGGCACCTTAAAATTATTTGTATAAATATTTTGCACAGAAGTCTTATGTTCTTGAAAAACTTTTGTGACAAACCGTTGAATTTTATGGTTCACATACTTTTTCCAATCAAAACCTGGATGTGAGAATTGTCCCCTGGCAAAAGCCAACCAGCATCATTTGTTTTAAATTTACATTTTAATTACAGGAAGATTGCATTGATATCTGTAACCCATAGTCACATCTGACTAATAATTCAATGATCATCTCATCAGATCATTTCATCATAATATTGTGTTGGATCATATATTTGCAGCGAACTGGAGTAGTTTTTCCAAAGCGTTCACCAGATGCAGCTCCAATATTTACACCACCTCCTACCCATCCAAATTTAAGAAATATGCAAGCTGGATATGGGATGCCTAGCACTTCATCAAAAACACTTGATGAAACCATGGCAACAGAGATAGAAAGCTTAAGGTGAACTCAAACTTTTTTTTCATGCTCACTTTTGATTCCTCTTGCCCTTTGTGTCACAGAACTTCAATTGCTACCAAATTTGCATTTTTGCTAACTTTCCTTGAAATACTTAGTTTTTCAAGTTTGGAGTCCATGCAACATGTTTTGGACCCTTTGAGTGACATGTTACAGGCTGTGAATCCTAGTGATCGGGCGGTAAGTTAAACTGTATTGCTTGGCCTTCTTGAATCATCCTTACTACCAAATAAAATGATTAAATGTATGGTTATTATGCTTTGTAGGCTGTAAGAGACGAAGTCATTATTGATCTTGTTGATCGCTGTCGGACAAACCAGAAAAAATTGATGCAGATGCTAACAACAACTGGGTTAGTTCCACTCAGCTATTCCATGTGGCATATTCCCAGATATATGTTTATTACTTTGTGATGTCTGTCCAGTTATGTTGAATAATCTTTGATATCATCATGGTTTTGTCATAGGGATGAGGATCTTCTTGGAAGAGGCCTCGAATTAAATGATAGTATTCAAAGTTTGCTTGCAAGGCATGATGCAATTGCTTCTGGTACTTCATTTCCAATTCAAGGTGCAAGTTCCAGCACTGTGTCAACTGAAGTTCACTCTAGTGTCGATCAATCTGATGTAAAGAGCTCCAGCCCTGTCGAGTCTGCTTCGACACCTAAAGCTAGCTCTTCAGCCATAGTCTTTACTGAAAACAGGAGCCAAAGTGATGAAGAGGAAGAAGATGAATTTGCGCAGCAAGCTCGGAGGTCACTTAGAACTGATACTATATCTTAAATTGATATTTCAGTGCTCATGGTTTTGGAAACACGTTTTTTCTTTTCAATCATACTTGCATATGACATTAGGAAGTATAACTTAACTAAAAATACTACTAGTTTAGAATGTCTGTTGTATGCATTTAGATCTGTAACATCTGTTCATTGCATAAAGCATTTCTTTTCATTTTTATACTTAACATTTTTATGCTATTTCATTGTATCCTATATTTTCAAGCACAAATCTTTATTTTAAGCCCTTAATTATTTTATCGAGAATTTCATGTGAATTTGTATGTCAACATGTATTGCAGGTCATGAGTAATGAAATTGTTCTATTATGACAGTAAATTTTTCTTCAATATTGAACTCTTTACTACTATTACTGGCATTCTAAGGCACAGCCAGTAACTTCAAAAGATGCTACAACTGGATCCAGTGAAAATTCTGGGTCAAGTCCAAATGTGCCAGACCCCTCAACCTCAGGCCCATCCAATGCCTTAGTTCTTTCTGACCCACCTGCTCCAATTAGCGCTGCAAAGGACCAGGACATTATTGACTTACTGAGTATCACATTGTCAATGTCACCGTCGTCACAGACAACTTATGAACCACCGCCACAGACAACTTATGAACCATCTCCACAGACAACTTATGAACCATCAGGCTCTAGCCAAGGCATTCATCAGAGACCCGTTCCATCTGGAACAGAAGGGTATTCTTATGCTTCCCAAACATATCCGGGAAATTTGGCATACAACAGTTACGTTGTTCCTTGGGCTCAAACTCAACCTAAGTCAGAATTTCAAACCCAGCCTCAACAACAGACGTATCAATCTCAACAACAGACGTTTCAATCTCAATCCCAACCTCCAACCCCACCCTCAGCTCGACAATTACATACGCATTATGAATCCAAACAAGCACCGCTTCATCAATCGACCCATCCACAGTCTGAACCATTGCAATCACAACCCCCAGGTGCATTGCAACCACAACCTCAACATCATCAATATAGCCCTCCTCAACAGCATTTGCAACCTCCTAATGAACCCCAACCACTACAGTATCAGCCACAGCACCAACCACCACAGTCTCAACCCCAGCTTCAGTTACAGTATCAGCACCAACCTGCGCATGCTCAGCAACCTCAATCGCAACCGAATCAACATGTTCAATATCCTTCGAGATATCCTCCCCCACCATGGGCTGCTACACCTGGATATGCCAACTATCAAAACCACTCAACTGCTACAAATGCGATTTCATCTCCTCAAGGCAGCACAACAGCATCTTATACATCTGCACCAGGGGTTAGGCCTTCTGGAGTGAGGAACCCAACAAGTGCAACTGGACAAAGGCCTTTCGTTCCGTCTTACAGGTTATTTGAAGATCTGAATGTTTTTGGAAACACAGATGGAAGGGTAAAGATGACCAGCAGTGGCACATCATCCAGCTTGTCAGGGTCAATGGGACCTGGCATGGTTGGGGGGCGCAAGTGAAGTTTTTATTCATGTGTAAAAATGTGTTGATACGCTGTAAAAAATGGGACCAGCAGTATTATTAGCTTCTCATTTGCATCTTATGTAAGTTCTTTAGATTGATACTAGTGCTCCTTCCTATTTGAGTAGATCATAAAGTCATTAGTTTGAGTGTTACCTCAGACGACACATGACTTTGAACATTCTTTCATGTAAGGTTTTCTGGTAGTGCTTCTCTTTCTGGTGTTCATTGATCGCTGACCACTATAAATGGCACTTAAAATGCAGACACGGGCCAACGTCATTACTTTTAGTTATCAAGAACATACACCTAACATGTAGTTATATCAGACAAATCCGTACTTATTGGTACGTCTGATGCAAATTTTGAACAACACGGCCAAATTTGGATTCATTGCATCGAAATAATGTATGTAAATTGAATTCTGGATTGTGTCAGAAAAATAATATTAAATCAAGTCGTATTCAAAAGTCACCGCATGACAGCATGTTTGCATAATTCTTAAGTATTACAATATTTGATTTTTATTAAGATCGAACAACTAATTGTTCGCCGTCATAGTTTTCTCCCTTAAGCATAAGTATTTTATTAATAGATTAATACTTTGTAATTGCCTATAAAAAGGCAGCGAATGTATTGTAAGAAGAATGTATCATTTTGAGGGAAGCAAAGTGAATCTTACTGAGTTATAGAATAAATACTCTACCTCTCTCAATTTTGTTCCGCTACGTGAATGTGTGTGAATTAGTTGTTGTCCTAGTGATAACAATTGGCATTAGAGTTTGAGAGTCTGGTAGTAATGTGAGTGAAAAAAATATTTTGATTGTGTGTGGAATAACAAGATTCTCACTTTGCCAAAAAAAAAATATATATAATTATGTTTTTAAGAAATATGATCACCAATTACAATGTTATTTAGTCTCGTACTAAATTAGTTGAGAAGTTAAATTTTATTTATTGTGAAACTTTGATGACTACACATTTGAGAGCTATAGTATTTGGAGTTTTGTTGAACCAGGATTAGAAGGAGTTGATGATATTGTTAGGAGGAGAGACCAGTTGGCGCTATCACAGATTTACCAAGGAGTAGATTATTCTTTTTTTGGCCAAATTGTAAATGTCAAAACTCCTAAAAAAGTATGAAATATTTTGAAGTTATCATATAAAGGAGTAAAGAAGGCTTAGAAATCCAAGCTGTAATCTCTACGAAGGGAATATGAAAGATATGAAATGTCAAATTCTAAATCCATTAAAGAATATTTTCATGTGTTACAAATGTCGTCAATAAGATGAAAGTGTATGGAGAAAATATTTTTGATAGTAAAGTGGTGGAGAAAATTCTTTGGATGATCTCGATGAAGTTTGATCATGTGGTGACAACTACAATAATTGAGTCCCACGACATAGACATCATGACTATAGTAGAGTTGCAAAGAAACATTGAAAGTCGTGTAAGCAAAATCTTGGGAAAGACATAAAAAGGAAATGAAGAATCGTTAAAAAGTCAAGTGAATCTCAACAATGTAGCTAAAATATGTCAAAGCGTAAAAAGTAGATGTCATAATAATTACAACAATGGAGAAAGAGGACGAGGAAAATTTAGAGGTAAGGACGTCAAAATTTCACAAGGATGAGATAATAATTTTGTATCATTCAACTAAGGAAGAGGTGGAAATAATTTTGACTCTACCAACCGATGAAGAGGATATAGTAATAACTACCAACAAAAACCAAATTTTAATTACTTCTAATGTGGAATGTTTGAGCGTAGAGTTACAAATTGTAGATTTAAATAATAGGCAAATGTAACAGAAAGTCATGAAAATATTAATGAGAGTTCTTATAATGTACAAAGTTTATTTTTAACAAATACATTTTTTGAGGATGGAAAAATTTGGTATCAGAATACTGGATGTAGTAATCATATGTGTGAAAAAAATGATTTATTTTCTTCTCTAAATGAAATAGTAAAATCTATTGTAAAATTTGGAAACAACATAAACATTCATATTTAGGGGAAAGGCTAAATTGCTATAAAATTGAAAAATGGTTCATAAAATTTTATCTCTAATGTTTTCTATGCTCTTGGTATTCATCACAATTTGTTGAGTATGGAACAACAATCAAACAAAGGTTACAACATGCAAATTCATCATGGATATTGCATGTTGATAGACAAAAATGAAAGATTTATTGCTAAGGTAAAGAAGACTCCCAATCATCTATTCCCTTTGAAAATTTGTCATGAAAAGTTCTTTTTCTTGAGTTCTGTTATTCCTAATGATAATTGGTTATGGCATATACACTTTGGACACTTTCATTTTTTTGGATTAAATTATTTATCAAGAAAAAAATGTTTCTGGCTTGCCTGTTGTGAATATTCCTAATTAGAGCTGTCAAAACGTGCCAGTCTGGCCCATGTAGGCTGGCCCACCTTGACCCACTTTAAAAATGAGTCAACCCAACTCAGTCCACTTTTAATTTTTTTAGAAATTTTATAGCCCGGCCCGGCCCACCACGGGTTGGTGGGTCATACGGTTCAGCCCACCAACCCACCAAAAAATTAAAAAAAAATTACCAACAAAATTCAAAATTTTAAATTAATTATAAATTAACATAATAGTCATAAAATTATAATAGCCATAAGTCATAACTTATCATACAAAATTAAATACAAATCATAATAAAAGTCCAAAATAAAAGATTTCAATGTCCCATCATACAAAATTAACTACAAATCATAATCAAAGTCCAACTCCAAAATAAAAAAGTTTTAATATCTCATTATACAAAATTAATTACAAACCATAATCAAAGTCCAAACTTCAAAATAAAAGGTTTCAATGTTTTATCATACAAAAGTTTTGCAAAATAAACTTAATTAGAGTCTTGCACGGAAATGTCAATAACAATTTCTTCTCTTTGCATATCCACTTTATCTCCGTCTACAAATAGGAAAAAAAAAGTGTTAGGATGAGCTATTGTAAAAATAAATAAAAAAATTTTCATTTTAAAAATGACCTAATTCTTCAAAACCATGTAACCAGTTTTGGGTTAGAATGAGTAACTCTACATTTTCAAGAAGAATGGTAGAGCAATACTTAGTTAGCATCGGAGACCTAAGGCTAAAAGCAAATTCACTAGCAACTATAGTGATTGGAATACTCAACACATCATAAGCTATTTGAGAGAGGTTTGGATAACGATCGTGACGATCCTTCCAATAAGCTAACAAATCTAACTTTTCATGAAACTTTGGATCAAGATTTTCTTCCTCCAAATATAGATCTAATTCAGATTTTCCATTATCAAAAGCATTTTGACTTAAATAATCAACATATTCCTAAGAAATTACAAAGAAAAATAAATTCAGTATTCATTATTCAATGATAATTACTAAATAAAAATGAAATTAAATAAAGTACTTTAAAAAATTATTAACTTACATCAAAGGTATCAAGTACTTGCTCATCATCTGTATATGAAATTGGTTGTGGTGGAAGAAGAGACACGTTAGAAGTTGAAGCATTTGATTCATTCGATTTTACTTTCTCATACACTTCAAACAGTTCATAAATTTTCTTTCTTAAAACACTAATTTTCTCTTTAGAAATAGAATGCTCAATTTTTCTATAAGCAAACTGAATAGCTCCAAACTTCATTCATGGGTCAAGAATAACACTAATGGCAAGAATCTCACAATAATCATGCCAATATTTTGAAAACTTAGTCATCATTTTTGAAACCATCTCTTTAATCACTAGATCTTCACACATAATAAATTCACGCAACAATTTTTCAATTTTCCAAACTTGCATAAAGTACCAATTAGACATTGGATAAGTGGAGCCTGATATCAAATTTGTCGTGACAAAAAAAGGCTTCAAGAACTCGCACATTCTTGCATCCCTATTCCATTCATCATCTGAAGGGCAATGAACATAATTCCTATCTCGAATAGCCAAACAACCAAATGCATGTTTGTATTTAATTGCACTATCAAGCATAAATAAGTGGAATTCCATCTAGTGGGCACATCCATTATCAAACCCACTTTAGTATCAATACCCCTCACTTGAAGCACACATTCTTTAAAAGAAATCTTTCTAGCTTCCGATCCTCTTACATATTTTATACTCTCTAATTTTTTTCAAAGCACCACTAGCCACCCTCAAACCCTCTTGAACAATGAGGTTCAATATATGTGCACTACATCTCACATGAAAATATGAGCCATTAAAAATCAAGCTATTTTACAAATTAAATTATGCTTTCATGAAATTTACCATTTGTCATTGGCACTTGCATTGTCCAAAGTTATGGAAAACATTTTCCTATCTATCCCCCAATCAAGCAAGATTTCAAAGATTTTTTTTGTCATTTCATGACCACCATGTGGAGGATCTAATTTAGAGAAGGCAAGAATCTTACTATTCAGTTTCCAATTAGAATCAACAAAATGAGCAATTACACAAATGTATCCTTCCTGAGTTATGCATGTCCAACGATCATATGTTAAACAAATCCTACTATTAGCTTTACGCATTGCATTTTTTACCTTTACTTTTTCTTCATAATGAATCCTCCAAAGGTTAGAAACAGTTGTGTTCCTACTAGGAATTCTTAACCTAGAATGTAAATACAAAAGTAACTCCCTAATCCACTTATACTCAACAAAACTAAATGATAACCCATGTTCAATAATAGCCCTTGAAAGCAAATCTTCAAAATATTTTTAATCTATTTCTCTAGACCTCAACTTGCCAGCTTGATCAATTATCATATTTCCAATTTGTGCAGATTTTTATTTTTGCTTTAGGATGTCACACTTTTGCAAATGACGTAACATGGATGAAGTTCCTATTTTTGCACCGCCACAAACATATTCATTACCACAATGGTTGCATTTAGTTTTTTCTTTACCATCTTTGACCCCAAGTTTAGTAAAATTATCCCAAACTTTAGACGTGGTTGTCTTAAACTTCTTAGTTGGCCAAGAATCATCAATATCTTCAATAATAGTAGAAAGTTGTTTATTTAATCCAACATCAATAATTTGCTCATGAGTTTCAAATTCTATTTTGTATATTGAAAGCATTAATAAAAAGAAAGTTAATCATATAATCAAACACCAATATATCACTAGTAATGATCAGTAGAAACTACCACTCATAGATTTTTACTATACATTTTAACAATCTTCTTATCTCAAAATCTTCTAAAAAAAT